TGGCAGGGTTTACCACTGATGTCTCTCCCATTAATTTATCATTGCAGTAAGGACTGTAAAAAAATTACCTTATGGTAGATGAATCTGGACAAACCGCTGGCAGGGTTTACCACTGATGGCTCTCCCATTAATTTATCATTGCAGTAAGGACAGTAAAAAAATTACCTTATGGTAGATGAATCTGGACAAACCGCTGGCAGGGTTTACCACTGATGGCTCTCCCATTAATTTATCATTGCAGTAAGGACAGTAAAAATTACCTTATGGTAGATGAATCTGGACAAACCTCTGGCAGGGTTTACCACTGGTGATGGCTCTCCCATTAATTTATCATTGCAGTAAGGACAGTAAAAAAATTACCTTATGGTAGATGAATCTGGACAAACCGCTGGCAGGGTTTACCACTGATGGCTCTCCCATTAATTTATCATTGCAGTAAGGAGAGTAAAAAAATTACCTTATGGTAGATGAATCTGGACAAACCGCTGGCAGGGTTTACCACTGGTGATGGCTCTCCCATTAATTTATCATTGCAGTAAGGACTGTAAAAAAAATGTCTTAATTAAAAAAATATATACATACGCGTCTATAAAATAGTTCAAATTTTATATAAATGTATTTTAATTTTAAAAGGATAGGGTAAAATATGAGTAATTTTGTGTTTTATTATTTTGTCGGAGGTATATTAAAGAGATTATTCTCTGAGATTAATGTCATTTATTCGAACACTCTACAAAGTAGGTAGCCCAATAACGCTCTACTTGACACAGTTGAAGACTACGAGAACCATCCCCGAGAACACAGCGACTATGGTTCAACAAAAGTGAGACGACCACTCAAGTGAGTCAGCTGTTTTTCTAGAATGTAGGGTGAAACCTTCCTCTGGTGATAGCGGCGAAGACCTCCAAACGAAATATCGAAGAATTATACGGAAGCCCAAAATTTTGGACCTTTAGAGAACATCAAATCGGATCCTTCGAAATGAAGGAGGTAAATGATTCGAATCAAAAATAAACTTTAAGGTACAGTTATCTTGCTCTTTGTTTATGTTTCAATAATTACCCCTAATAATATACACCTATCCCCCGATTTACACGGTAGATGCGTTCTTGAGAAAAACGTGTAAATCGAGGGATAGATGTATATTAAACTGTCAAATCTGAATAGGTGTTCGTCCCCTCATGAATCAGAGCCTCCCAATATTCTTTTCAACATAGGTAGTATAGAGTAGAATATCGCATTTTTTAGTATAGTGCGATAAAAACAAAAAAAAACTTATTTGGAAAACCGTGTAAAAGCGAAAACGTGTAAAACAAGTACCGTGTAAATCGGGGGATAGGTGTAGTTGTTTTACTTAGTTAGTAAAAACTTTATATGTATGTAAATGCCCAACAGAATAAAAATGATTCTTCTTCTCGATTGAATTCCGTTTGATGAAGACGCATCAGAAGGGTTATGAAAGAATGGCAAGACACAGGGACCATATCTAGATAACGTATATTTCTACCTATACGGTATCGTTCAACGGTGGTACGAGAAATTAACCACATTTTAAATAATTAATAAATATAAAAAATATTTTTTTTTAAAAAAAGCTTTTTTATTCAAATGCAATAAAAAAGAAAATATTTTATCTTCTGTCATTGAGCAATTAGATATATATGAGTGAAAAATAAAAGCGGCGGTGGACGATCATCATGAATTTCGAGCCTTATTTGGTTCATTATGTTGCAACTGATTAGGGATTTTGATAAGTGTTTACTAAATAGTTATCTCTTCTCTCAATATGATCGTCCCCCGCCGCTTTTATTTTCACTCGTATGCATCTAATTGCTCAATGACAGAAGATAAAATATTTTTTCCTTTTTAGTGAATTTAAATAAAAGCTTTTTTTAAAAGTATTTTTACTATTATTTTTTCAGTTAGGTTTTATATATATACTAGCGGATGTGTACCCGGCTTCGCCCGGGTTTTATCCGAGTGAAAGTTTGCCTAACGAATATTATATATTATGAAGTATAATAAACAATGTTAAAGATTAGTTTTAATTATTAATCAAGATTGTGTGTGAATATGTGAGAAAGATGTAATATCGTTGTTGTTTTCTTGGCCGACTGTTTTACATATGGTGTTATCTTAAAATTGCTTGTTTTGAATATTTTTTTAGATTGAGTTGAATGAATTGCTGAATTTTTTTTTTTGTATTTATATATAAATAAAATTAACTCTGTTGATTTTTTTTTCTATTTAATCGATAACAGCGAAGTTACGCATGTTAAAGTTAGGAAAAATATTTTGATGTTAAGCAAAACCTGCTCCATCTCGTTTTACATAAATGTTGAAAATTTGGTCGAAATTGATGCATTGTAACGAAAGTTTTTAGTGAACAACACTTATGAAATTTGCATTTTATTAATATAGATAGTCATGAATTTACAAAACTTAGAGAGAATCAAAAGTTAAAATATATACGAAATCTCACTAAAATATTTAAATATGCACACACATCAAACCCATCTACTCATAAAACCATTCACACACTATGGTATTAGAATATACAGGTAAACCTGTCTATAGCGCCCCCTCTTGGGACTCACCAAAATGGCGTGCTATAGAGAGGGGGTGCTATAGACAGGTCACTTTTAATGTAAATCGCATCGTACTACGTATTTAAAATCGGGCGCTATAGAGAGGAAGGCGCTATTTAGAGGGGGCGCTATAGACAGGTTTAACTGTATATGTAATTAATCCAGGTTCCTTATGCCTTCAACAGATCTCTCTAACCACCCGTTGGTCTCGAGGACCACGCCATATCCTCAGCGTCGAAGTACGCGAACTACGTATTCTTCGTAGATCGCGAAATGCGTGATGTCGCTGGAGACCCACTGGCGATTCTACACCAAACTCTGCAGCGCTGGCAGAGGCGCCATATTCATTGTACATAGTGTATATAATCCATTTTTTTTTAATAGTGCAGACTGTGCACTTTGCATGTATTGACAAGATGTCAATAAAATTGTTTGTCAAATTGTCTAACCACCCGTGTAGTCAGTCAGAGACTTAAGTATTTTTGGTTTTATTTACAATGGCTGTGGAAGTACAAGATATCAATAGTGCCAAGTAGATTTATTTATAGGGATATTTTTCATTGATGTCAGGTTGATATTTATAATTCATGGGAGAGTGGCCGCTGGATTTTTTATTGTTATCAGAAAGCTGAATAGATGAAAAGGATATGACCCACTGTTTGGTATTCATTCTAGCAGTTTTGAGTTCTATTGATTTGGAGTTCTTTTATTATGGGCAACGCTTTATGAAAAGAATTTGGAAGAGAGTATATAAGTTTGAAGGTGCAGCAGGCCTGAGCTCTTTGGTCTGCTAATTCATTTTCCAGAATACCGCTGTGACCTTTGACACAGCAGAGTTGAACATTGAATGTACAGTGGGGTGGACTGCATATGACAGAAAAAGTCAATTTGCAGTCTGAGACAATTCGGAAGTTTACACGCGGGAAAATCTGGCTAATTTTAGTCGTCTAAAGAACCTTGGAATGTTGAATATTCGTGTTATCCGCCGCTCATTACCTACAGACATTGCTGCGTCTATTTTCTTCATTTTAAAGGGAATACAAAAATTTTAAAAATCGTTTGGATTAGGCTATAAATAGAAGGAAGTCTGGACGAAAGTGTATAGAAAATCCCTGCAGCTCGCCAGGAAGAGATTTTTTACAAGGCACTTTTCTCTGAATGGAGTTTTCCATCTCAGATATTATTTCAAAGTCTTTGATATTTATTACTTTTGCTTTGTAAGCTGTTTTAAGCCAATATACCAAATACCTTCTATGTGATCTGGGATTATATTAAAAATCGTTCATAAAAATTGAAAGGAGGCATGTCCAACCACATTTTTATAGAATGCTGGCCGCTCTTTACACGACAGAAGAAGTTTTATATTTTCTAATCTACTCCATGCCACGACGGTCTTGCATTGTTAGCAGTAATGAAACAGCCTATAAAATACCAGACTTCTAGATGGTCTAGATGTATAATAAGAACTAGATAATTATCCCGTTCTACACACGAGAGGGTCTAGAACGATAGTCATTTCTAAACCCTCTTTGTTAAAGTTTTACCCATCCTTATCCTTCCTTTATATATATCTATAAAAATGAAATCCAAAATCGATGTTTGTTATCGCGTTGCGCAAAATCTACAGAAGCAAACATTATGAAATTTCGCATGTAGGTAGCTGAAGATTTCGTTTAACATATAGGCTATTAAAAAAAACTAAAAAGGTTAATGTGCTTTTTTAAAAATTGAAAACCAAAAAGCGTTAGTTCCAGCCTTTTGCCGCTTGGCACCGCACTGGTCGCGACGATAAATGAATTTGATTGGTTAATAATTCACACGTTTAAACGATGAATATTTGTTTGTTTACACGATGAATGTTTTTAACAGGTAAAATTATCCAATCGCCGTGAAACTAGCGGATGTGTACCCGGCTTCGCCCGGGTTGTATCCGAGTGAAAGTTTGCCTAACGAATATTATATATTATGAAGTATAATAAACAATGCTAAAGATTAGTTTTAATTATTAATCAAGATTGTGTGTGAATATGTGAGAAAGATGTAATATCGTTGTTGTTTTCTTGGCCGACTGTTTTACAAATGGTGTTATCTTAAAATTGCTTGTTTTGAATATTTTTTTAGATTGAGTTGAATGAATTGCTGAATTTTTTTTTTGTATTTATATATTAATAAAATTAACTCTGTTGATTTTTTTTTGTATTCAATCGATAACAGCGAAGTTACGCATGTTAAAGTTAGGAAAAATATTCTGATGTTAAGCAAAACCTGCTCCATCTCGTTTTACATAAATGTTGAAAATTTGGTCGAAATTGATGCATTGTAACGAAAGTTTTTAGCGAACACCACTTATGAAATTTCCATTTATATAGAAGATATAATATAAATGAGTTTTAAAAATTGTCAAAAAAAAAATGCGTCAGCCGGGAATCGAACCCTGGCCGCCCGCGTGGCAGGCGAGCATTCTACCACTGAACCACCGATGCTTTAAAAAAATCAAATTCATTTATCGTCGCGACCAGTGCTGCGCCCTAGCGGTAAAAGACTGGAACTAATATATATTTTAAAAATATATCTTATTTAATAAATGTTTTCAAAAAAGTATGTGTTTCAAAAATATATTTAAACGCATATAACAATATTTATATACTTTTATAAATCTACTAGCCGAATGACCCGGGCAACGCCCGGGTTTTACCCGAATAAATGTTTTTATTCAAATACTATTCGTTACAATTATAAATTGGCGCCGTGGATGTCACTCTTGTGAAACGTCCCGCTCCGAGTCCCACTCGAAAAACCCGAACCATGGAAGACCTCTCTGCACCAGAAGTCCCCAACACTAATTTTACCAACCCCAAATACCCGGTAGGTACCCGTAAATATTCAATTTGGAAACTTCCAGAATGCCCAGAATTAAAAAATGAAGAAGATTCTCAAGCTTTGAAAGATACTCCGGCGCGGTCGAAACCACCTTTGCTGAGCTAATAAATTTTATTGACTTTTACGAAAGGGAGCTGTGCGAACTGCGCTCAAACTACCTAGAACACAATACTACAAAAGCTCCCGCGAAGCGCCCAAGAGAAAAATCACCAGTAGCCGCAAAAGAAACAACAACGCAAAAAACAACCTGGTGCTCCAACCAAAGGTCACAAGGTAATCCTGAACCAAAATTACAAAATAAACAGCCTGAAAAACCTCATGAAGCAGAAACAGTCGAAATGGAAATCGAAGTGACACCAAACAAAATACCAAATCATGAGCAAAACCATAAAAACTCTAACCCATCAAAGAAACCTAACGAAACATCGAATAACAAACCTAACAATCCCACCCCTAACCCCAAGATCAGAATACCACCAATTAAAATAAGCGGAGTAAAGGAATGGTCAGGCCTTAGAGATGGTCTTGTCAATTGCACAAAACAAAAGCCAGAATTTTACACATCAGGCCGATACATCAACGTTCAGACTCACACAACATCAGACTACCGGATAGCTACCAAGTGGTTGGAAGATCGCCACGACACCTTCCACTTCAAGATCCTAGACGACGAAAAGAGCCTTAGAGTGGTCGTCAGAGGTCTCGACCGCTGCATCACCATCCCCGAAATACAAGAGGATCTGGAAAACAAGGAATTCGAGATGTCCAAACTTGCAAGATTACGAAATTCAAGAACAAAGGAGGAGCTACCACTAATCCAGGTAACCCTTCCTAAGACTGCAAGGAATAAAGAAATTTACAATATCACAGATCTCTGCGACATGAAGTGCAAAGTCGAGGCTTACAGGGCTCCCAAAGGCCCCGGACAATGCCATAGGTGCCAAAACTTTGGGCACTCTCAGTTTGAATGCAGGGAAACTCCCAAATGTGTAAAATGTGGAGAAAATAATTTCACATCCGAATGCACCAAAGAAAAAGAAGTCCCACCTAAATGTGCAAACTGCCAGGGTCAGCATACAGCAAGTTGGCGTGGTTGCCCACTATACAGAAAGATAAATAGAGTGCCCCAAACTCAAAATAATCAGAAACCAAACCTCAATACAGAAAAAGAAAAATTCAACCCTACAGGTCTCCAAACCCTTCTGAAATTCCCCAACCCATCCAAAACAAGAACAAAATCCACATGTTAATAAAGAACGTCCCAATCCTCCTTCAGCCACTAAGGTCAACCAACTAGAGAGCGCTATCAAAAAGGCTCTCAGTGACCCCGCAATAATAGCCAACATAATGAAGAACGTTGCAGATACCTTTAGATGTAAATGAATCACAAAAATATGTATAAAAATAGCCTTCGAATCGTTCACTGGAACGCGTGTAGTCTCCGAAATAAAAAACAACAATTTTCAGAATTCCTGAACGACCACGACATCGACATCGCACTAGTGTCAGAAACCTGGCTTAAGCCGTGCCATAAAATGAGGATTCAAAACTTCATCACCCTCCGCAAAGACAGACTAACCGGACAAGGTGGTGGAACTGCCATATTCATCCACAAGAAGTACAGCCAAGCACCTATTCATGCCACCACCTCAAGCCTGGAAACAACAGGAATTTCAATCAAAGACAAAAACGGGGCAAATATGAACCTGTATTCGTGCTACAAACCACCAAACACCTATCTAGATCAAACCGATATCTATAACATTTTTTCAACGGATACACCGACCATCATAGCAGGGGACCTAAACTGCAAACATCCTGCCTGGGGTTCCACCACCACTAACCCAAGCGGGAGAAGGCTCCAAAACGCAATCAACGTTATGGACCTAGATGTGAGCTACCCCGACGAACCTACTCATGACTCACCTCCAGACATCATTGATATCGCCGTGCACAAAAATATCTCCCAAAGCGCATACTCTAAAGTCCTGCACGAACTAACCTCTGATCATCTCCCAGTACTACTTGTGCTACAGAATTTCAAAATCTCCTACTCAAATACAAAAATAAAAATTACAGATTGGGCCCTATTCATGTACAAAATGGAAATCGCTGAACCTCCTGAACTGATCCTTGACACATCTTCAAAAATAGACGAGACCATTACACACATTGAAGAACAATTGGTGCAAAATTTGAAAGATTCAACAAAATATAAGGACCCGGAACTAGAACGAAGATATCCACCTCACATTAAAGAAAAAATACGATCCACCAACAGACTAAGAAAAAAATGAAAAATACTTGCGACCCCCGAGATAAATCAGCCTACATGACGGCCCGGAGAGAATCACAGAAACTTACAAGAGAGCACGATAACACCAGCTGGGACCACTTTATCGAAAACTTGAAAGTCACGGACCAAACCATATGGAAAGCCATCAAACGATTACCCAACTCTGAAAAACAAGAAATAACACTGAAGACAATGGGCAGACACTAAACACAGAAGAAGCAGCTGAATCATTTGCCAACAACTATGAAAAACAGTTCACCCCCAATCCCTATACATCCCACTCCAAACCTACTCGTACATACATCAAACGTGTGAATTCATACATTAAAAAAAAAAAGAAACAGGACTAGAACCAACAAACATTGGTGAAATAAAAGCGATTATTGAATATCTACCAAATAAAAAACTCCCGGAATCGACGAATTGCCTAATGAAGCTCTCAAACTGCTCCCTAATCATATACTAGCATCAATAACCGAAATATTTAACGCCTCACTGCAGCTTGCCCACTTCCCTGACAGATGGAAAACGTCCATTATCTGTCCCATACTTAAAAAAGGAAAATCCATGCATGAACCAACAAGCTACAGGCCCATTTCGCTGTTACCTGCCATCTCAAAACTATTCGAAAGAATTGTTTTAAGAAGACTCAGAAAATCCCTCGAAGAAAAGAATCCACTCAGACCTGAACAATTTGTCTACCAAGCCAAACACTCAACATTGCACCAGATAGTTGTTGTCACTGAAAAAAAAAAGAAAAGCCATGGACCTAGGCCAAATAACAGGAGCCGTATTCTTCGATATCGCCAAAGCATTCGATAAAGTCTGGCATGAAGCCCTTCTCTACAAAATGTGCAAAAAGCACCTTCCTGGAGACATCATAAAAATAACGCGAAACTTCTTAACAAATAGAACATTCAAGGCACGAGTCAAAAATGAACTTTCAACAGCTAGGAACATCTTTGCCGGGGTCCCCCAAGGATCAGTCACAGGATCAACCTTATTTGACATATATATAGATGACTTCCCCTGTATTGAAGACACCTCTTTACACCTATTTGCCGATGATACCGCCATTTTAGCCTCAACATATGACTTCGACAGACTCCACATGAAACTCCAAGAGGCCTGCATCTTTTCCACGCTCTGGTGTAAGGAATGGCGAGTCACAATGAACCCCCAAAAAAGTGAAGCAATAATTTTATCCAGAAAAAAAGACAAAATTAAGAAACCTTTAGACTAACTTTTCGTCTTCGAAGACAATATTAAATAGAAAGAGAACATCCGATACCTAGGGATGACCCTAGACGAGCACCTAACCTTCAAAAAACACATCGAAAACAGAATCAATTTGGCAAAAGCTGCCCAACACCGATTATCCCTACTTCTAGGACCGAAAATCAAATTATCCCTTCATTGCAAAAGAACCATTTACACGTCAATAATAAGACCAATACTCATATATGGCCACCCCATTTTTATGACAGCACATAAGATCATCCTTAAAAAGCTAGAAGACTTTGAAAATAAAATGATCAGAAAAATCATGTCTCCACCCTGGTTCGTTCGGAACACAATCCTCAGGAACGATCTAAATATCGAAAACATCAATAACTACATTATTAGTGAATCATTTAAATTTTACGAAAAATCCGAAAAATTAGAAAATCCCACCTTTGAGGAAGCCACAAACTACAAATGCGGAAAAAGGAAAATAAGAAATTTAAAACCTAGACAAATTCTTCATCAATTAAGCCAGAATGACGAAAAGTGGAAAAAAAGGAAAAACAAACCCACCTTGAATATAAAACAAGCCAGAAAAAACCTTCTCAAGAAAAATATCCCCAAGGACCTGAGAATCCGGACCCAACGACATCATTATAAATTATAATTGTAAATAAACCCCTGTACATAACCACCACCCTCAGTATATTGTAAATATGATGATCTAGGTTGCTCTTTTTGAGCGGCACCTAATAAAGTTATTTGGAACTTGGAAACGTCCCGCTCCAAACTTTGTGTCTGAGAAGCGATATTTTTATAGAAAGATGATCTGGCTTTTGTTTTCTGCTCGAATGAATGTTTTTCTGTTAGAATTTTGTTCCTGCCTACAAAATAATGAACTGGTTTCACCCGTGGTCTCTGCTTTTTGGAATTTTTCCCGATATAATTTTGTATCTGTTAATCAAACATGATACAGCAATATCGTCATCATCATTTTCTGACTAAAAATATATAGTTTTAATAATTGATTTATATATTTTTTAAAATAGCCTATCGTCTTCCCCGTATTTTTCTACCTATGTA